TAGAGGACACTCGCATGTCGAATGTATGCTGTATGGTGAGTTTGCGCAAGGCAAACGTCCTCAGTGCATGTCGCGGGAACGATTCAAGGACAACATTAAGTATACTTTTAAAAAGGTTAGCGTAGATACTATCACTTTGTAACCTTGCATCAGACAGAAGCGTGGAGTAATATGATTGTTGTTGGTGTTGAGAAATTTGGTAGATATACGGAAGACATCAACCCTTTTTTCGAGAGGAGCACAAAGGTGTCCCCCTCGTATGATGAACATGGCTGTGTCTGCTTCTCGATGGAAGGCCTTCTCAGCCACAAACGCGAACACAGAAAACCCCACTATCTACTAATAAAATACCCAGCATGTACAGCATTTTTGATAAAGTGCGTAAATCTGCCAATGGAATCACTTGACATCATAAAAGTAAACTTCCAGATAATTAAGTTGCTGTTGGATGAGTCGCCTGTATTCAAGCCTGTTGAATGGCTTGCAAGTTACTTGCTGGTCCTATGAGCCGTTTAAGACGTCAACAACGGCACGGAAATAAATCCTTAAAATGTTCATTTGGGAGTGACGAGTATTAAAGGGGGTCGTACTCAATCACGAGTCCACCATATATCAGGTTTTATAATGCAAATCAATGTTTTCCCTAAAATTGGCAAAAACCAATAAATATTGGTAAATTTTTTCACGATATATATTTATGACGAATATACCTGGTTAATAATAACATTATGCTTAGGAGAAATATTTACATTAATTTATTGGGATGTATGTGATTTTTATTATGCGGTTCAAGGGTTTCAGTTCATTTCTCTTGTTTAATAAACCCGGGTTAATTAAGTGTTTTAAGATAATCCTTTTCTCAACCAAACATAGGTTACATTTATTCCCTTTACTGTTATACGATTTTGTCCTTGCTATAATACTCAGGTTAATTGAAGGTGAGCTGCAAGTCTCTTTCAGTTGCCAGAAATAATAGAGATACAATGCTGTTTTTGTATTTAAACAGTACTGCTCTTTCCAATGATTAAAATAAAATAAAAATAATAATTATAAATAAATACAAATCTTTTACGTTCATATAATAATTGCGGTTATGTTAATTGCCAAATATAATGTTTTGAGAAATAAAACTTAAAAATAATTTTTTAAAAGGATATAATTTTTCAAATGTATAATCCCAATATATGTAATACTTAACTGTGCCAGTATTGCGTTAAATATATATATCTTTTAAATTCAATTTTCGTGACGGTCAGTCCATATTTAGTACCTGAAGATTGCGTTTTATATGAAACTCCGAATCTTATGAATAGTGAGGGATAATATGTATATTTATTAATATATACTTAATAGCACTGTTATATAAGATCGAGCACTGTTTCATTAACACCAGCACTTTATGTGCAATTCATATATATATATATATATATATATATATATATATATATATATATATATATATGTATATGTATGTATGTATGTATGTATTATGTATGTATGTATGTATGTATGTATAAATAAAGACAGAAGGAAAACTTATCTTAGCCGATGCGGTTCGTGCTTTGCCTAGATAAAGTCCCACAGAGGACGAAACGCATCGGCTAAAATAAGTTTTCCTTTGGTCTTTATATATTTTCTTTTTACAGATATACTTTATCTGAAAGATATACACACGTACACGCACACACACATACACATATGTATATTCTAAAACTGAACTATTAAGCCCACATACGTTAAAATCTACGATTGGATCTATTAGAGAAAGAGAGAGAGTGTTTTCCAGTGTGGTTGTGCTCTTTACTCTTGTTTGGCAACCAGTTTAGGAGATGTAAAACTGATTCCAAGTCAGGAGTGTAGCCCCGAAGAGAGATTGGTCGTAAACTTTACCCTCTTTCTAGCAACTCTCAACCAGTCATCGTACATCTGAATAAAAAATGAGATTGCAGGAAGCGCTCGCGTGAGACAGAGAGAAAGAGAGAGAGAGAGAGAGAGGGAGACAGAGAGAGAGAAAGTTAGAGAGAGTGAGAGAAGTACTGTCCATGTACAATGACACTCTCACTTAAAAAATCATGCATAGTTTGCTGCGAAAATTTCCTATTTTGCCCAGCTACAGACATCATTATTATGATAATCAATCAAAGAGGAGGAGGCGTATTTTTTTAACAGCCATGTCATTTATTTTATAGAATTAGTTGGAATTGCTTATAGAAACTTGTCAATTCATATGATGTTTACATTATATGAATCTTACTTCCCCCACCTCTCTCCCTCTCTCTTACTATATATATATATATATATATATATATATATATATTGTGTGTGTGTTTTGTACTATTGTACTTTCCAACAGCCAGGTTATTTATTTGTTTCAATAAGGCGTAACGTGTTTCGAACAGCTGTTCTTTCGTACTCTCATCCGCAAAACTAAAAGAAATTCTTGAATAAACATTTACTGGCTGATGGGTATGTTTTTTAAACTAAACAAAAGCTGTCTGTGTAGTGATTACGATGAATGTAAACTTCAATGACAACTGGTTTTGTTTTAAAAGAACGTACAGACCCTAGCATTTAATTAAACGGTCGACGGGAGACTGGTGGGAAGTAAGCTAAAAATTGAATAACAATGAAGTTTTTATTTCCTGGGTGGGTATTTTTTTGAGAGATGTGTAAAATCTCAAAAGAGCTACAGTAACTTAACAGATGAGCATACCGGTGGATCTATTCAAATTCCTCAATATATATAGACATTGAAGTCAACACCAAGCAGCGACAGCCTATTTCATGCTTAAGCGCAATCGTCAGGCCATGCGCGATCGACTTTTTATAAATACTTGTCTGTGCTGCATCTTGGGCATGTATATTGTATTATTCGAAGGGTTATTTGGGTAAGTGGTAATTGTTATGTTTGCAATTATTTTAAGGCCTATTGAGAGAAAATAATTTTGGATCCGAGTTCAATTTTGTGGCTATTTTATAGTGTTGTTAACATTTCTATTATTTATTATTAATTATTTTATTATTGGTTGTTATTATTGCGTTTACTTCTGTTTATGTGTGCGTTCGTAGTTTGTTAATTTTTTTATTATTTATTCAGTTTATTTGCTTATTTATTGGTTTTTGGATAATTTATTTTACTTATTTATTTTATTTTATCTATTTATTTTTTATTTATTTTTGTTCGTTTTTAATTTTCGATTATTAAGTAACGTAGTAAAAAATTTTTTTGTGTCTGAATTTTGAGATGAGTTCTGATCGTTTATTTAATAATTTGTATCGCTATTTTCTCCAAAGTTTACAGTTTTGGGATTTATTGCTGTAGGCTGATGCTGTTTTCCTTATTTTCTCGTATTTAGTATTTGTAAAAGCTGTTTTGCGTGCATAGTTTCTTTGTTCCCATGGTCCTTTAGTTACTGCTATGTATATTTTTTCTTCAATATCTACTGATTTTACTGTGGCTTGGTATATTACATTGTTTTTCATGCAATTTCCTTTTATAGAACATTTGTTCTTTTATCTGTAGTTACACGTGGATGTGATTGTCTTGATGGTTTGTTGGTTGTTTTCCTGTTGTGAATTTTTATTATTTGTGTCATGTTATATATATAATATAAATAAAATAAGCAACTTTCAACAGATTATGGTATAGAGGCACATTGGAGAAAGAGAGCCAATGCCATATCAACTGGTAGAACATTAATATTTCTCAATAAATTCCCAGTGAACAGTTGCCGACCACCACAAGTCACGTAGTCAGTAATAGTTATTTGTGAAAATGGGAATTTTATATTCCTTTGGGAAATTATATATATATATATATATATATATATATATATATATATATATATATATAATCCGTTGGTATATAATCCAAGTAAATCCTAATAATATAAAATGTTAAAAATGATCCACAAAAAGACTTCAATGTATTTATTATAACAGAGCATATATATTATATAGAGCTAGGATGCCTAAACTGTTTTATCCATTACTCCATGGAGTCCATCTTTTTAAAAAGGGGTTACGAAAAATTTTAAATTTCCCAGCCCAAAGATTTCCATTAGATAGCAATGTAGTTTAGGCACGATAACCTAAAAATTTAAGTAAACTTTATGCAGTATCAGGTCAGTTTTGTTGTTGTTATTATTATTATTATTATTGAATATATGATAAAATTATACAGGAAGAACAAGTCCCTCTGGCCTGAAGTGAGCTAATAAATTATTTTTGAGAAAGACGTGAAATCTATAATTTTTAGGCGATTCTTCTAATTTCAATGGGTGACCCCAATATATATATATATATATATATATATATATATATATATATATATATATATATATATATATGTATGTATGTATGTATGTATGTATGTGTGTGTGTGTGATATCGTTTTTTTGTTATTTGTTAGTTGGCATGTTTTTAGCGTTGCCTTTTTTTAATTCAACATGATCTTTCTCTTAGACTGACGTCCAACAGAGGCTAAAAAGCTCAGTCTATTCTGCTAACTAAGCCATATCTGGGTGGGTGTATTAGAGATGGATTTATGCTTTCCTCAAAGGTATTAATGCAAAAGTGAACAGCAAACTCGACTGGATTTTGAACTCGGCTTGTCGATTCCATTTTCCGTGCCAATAACGCCATTCGCACATTGTAGCATAGTATCCGTCAAAATAACAGGATGACACCCAAGGAACAGCACTATTGTCGAAGATCGTTTTGATTCATTCGTTTTCTACGCCATCAACCATTTCCAGGTTATTTCAAGCAAGGAAATATTTTTTTAGATTGTAAGAAATTTTTGGGATATAATAATGATTTAGTGATACAAATCTTACTAATTAATTCATAGGTGGAGGTAGAAGAGGTGGATTAATACCTGCCTCGAGAGAATTTGCGCGTAAATGAATATAACGAACCCAGTTAGAACTAGAATTGGAACTCAGCACTCTGATTAACAATTCCGAGCCATTATCCTTTAGACCACTCGCACACCCAAGCTTACAGCACCTGTTATTCCCAAGTTGTCACTCATCTAGGTACTGTCTAGGCTCGACGTTACTTAATTTCAGTGATCGTACGAGAACTCGTGTTTCAACGTCATATGACCGTAAGCCTGTCGAAGATCAAAGTATCTTTCTAGGATTAAAGTGTCATTCTGCACACACACACACACACACACACACACACACACACACACACACACACACACACACACACACACACACATTCCTGTCCATATATGTGCATTGTTATCATTATTAATCTTTCTTTCAATAAAAGTTTGATATCAATCCCTACGCCGATATGTTTAAAACCTAAAGAGACAGGTAAACGCACCATGTGGTAGAAATTGTAAATGTAATAATGAGTGATACTTCAATCTGGGTCATCGATTTCAAGTAGAAGGATACGAGGCGTTAGTCGAAAATGCGTTAATTGCTTTAGGAAATATCGATCAATTTGGTTTAGTACATTGAGGACAAATGAGGAACAACCTTAATCTCAGTCAGTTCGGAGATACACAGTGTTACAGATAAACGGCAGCTTAACACAAAACCTAGCGAGGTCACCTGAATCAACAATTTCTGAGTATAGTGAGTTCGATCTTACCTAGATGACCCACCGTGACCTTGTGTCAAGCTAAGCTAAGCAAAGTAAATATGGATTAATGGTGAGCAATCTAGTTTAACGAGTTCATTTCTCATCGGATGTTCCCCACTTGGGGCTTTGTACTGTACTCTGTTAAAATTAGTTTATACTGAAGGAAATCATCTGACTCTGGTTGTCGCTACTATAAAAAAACCTCCTGTACGTTAATGATAGATTTTCAGTATGTTTTTGACTGATAAAGGCAAGTAGAGATCCATGCAGAAGGATCACCTCCAAAATGGGGCCAACTGTTTCCTATATCTATGTCCACCGTTTTGAGTCTCGTGTAAAAAAAGCTTCGATCTAACTTTTTAATTCTTGTGCAAACCAAACCTATATCTACCTTTTCTTGTGCAAATAGCTTATATCTACCTTTTCGGCTCCCGTGCAAACTGATTCTGTGTGTATCTTTTTGACTCTTGTGCAAATCGAACTTTTCTCCATTTACTTCAGCCTCGTGCAAACCCAGCCTATCTTTTCTACTGACGTGAAAGTAAAGCCGATGTCTACCTGTCTATTGTTCATTAAAATGATAGAATTTGGCGTTAAATAATATAGAAAAATTTGCAAGCAGGTTAAGAATTATGATTTTCGGGGTTATGAAGCCAGATCATCCAATTGCTATATGGGAGTTACCTATATATAGCCAGTACATTTATATATATATAACATCCGAAATACCCAAAGAAGAAATGTAAATATCTCAGATAGATTACATTCAAAAGAATATGTTTACCTACACTCGATAGTAATTATTGATATTCCAGTCCTGATACATGACTATTTGAAACACATTACAAATATCTTTTAAATGTTAATTGTGAGATGAGCAGTTATTTACACTTCATTTGCTATAATTTTTATTCTAATTTGTAAGTAAAGATAAAATGATTATCTTTGTCCCTCTATAGTAAATGTATAATTTATAACTTTGGCCCAAGTAAGGCTATAATTAAAAACTTTGATATTTATATCTATCAAGACAGCTCCAGATTATAGCAAAGTATTATTACCATAATTTTCGTTTTTGCCTGTAAGTATAGATATACTTCTATTATTTATAACATATCCAAATATATTTAATTAATTTTAAGATGAATTAGAAATTAGTAAAATGAATATTTCAGTATGATATATATATATATATATATATATATATATATATAGATAGATAGATAGATAGATAGATAGAGAGATAGATAGATAGATGAATTAGATCAAATATAGATCAAATATCAATCTGATGGAGCTTTAATAAAAGCGAAACATGTTAGACTTATAAACGTTTCATATTTGTTCTTTATCTTATCAATGAAACTTAATGCAGTAAAGGGTTAAATTCGTGATTATTATTATTATTGAATATATGACAAAACCCTCCAGGAATAGATAGTCTCTCTAAACCGAAGTGAGCTTGTAAATTCGTTTTGAAAAAAACACGTAACTTTATATTCACTAATAATTACAAAAATTAGTTATATTTACTAAAATCCACCTAGTACAAGGTTCAAGAGCTACTCATGTTAAGGAGTTACTGAATGAGGTGTGTGATATGAAGTGAAGATTATGAGGACAGAAGGCGATTAGCTCAAGATTGAAAGGTTGAGATTGTAATATTCAGGGAAGCACCAACAGAGGAGTTTGTTCCACAGTGTAGTAGTTATATTTTAGCTAACTGAAACTTCCTCCTTACAACTGGAATACGGAGGTGAATTGACTCAGTGAACATAGGATGACGGGTCCTAGATATAAAAGTCTGAACTGGTGGAACTAAAGATTGAAACTCATCTGAAAATTTACTATGGAAATAGTCAGTAGAGTAGCGATAGACTTGTTGCATCTGTGAGAAAGAGGCTGTAAAGTGGGGTCGTCCTCCACAAGACTGCGTAAAGAGTTTCGAATTCTAGCAAGGCGAGAATTGGGCAACTGCAAATAAATACTAGCATCGTACGTTTTACTCTTTTCATTTTAGTTTTTAGCAGTAAAATACAGGGTATGCCTAGTATTTAAGTACCCCTCTTCGGGGTCATAAATGGAAATATGAGGATCGGCTGGAAAGTTCAGTTATACTCTCGTATAATGTTACGCGGCATATGCCAAATTTTAACATTCTCATTTGTCTTGAGCATTAACATTTTCGATTCCACTTTGACACGGGAACCACCAACACCATTGACTTGGGGATAGCCAACTTCAATGCGAACAGGAAGAACGCGGGTAGTTCTGCGGGGATCCCACGGTAGTACCGAAGTTCAGGCCGTCAGCGAGAATCATAGGTGTAGTGGACAAAGTGAACCATGTCATGTCACTCTAGCTCTTCTCGCAGTGTCTCGGAGTCAAAGTTACTGCCTATATCGAGATAGTACACACGATGGATAAACGTTGGATCGAGGAAGTGGTTGTACGTATTTCAGTAGAGCTCTGATCCTTTCCACATAGCCCACGAATCGCTGGCCAAAAGTTTTCACAATAATACCAGCGCCAACATATGACATCCTGGCTCCTTTAATTTGAAAGCCCTAGACTACTGCGTATGAGGTGTCGTTGAGAGGAAAACCAACCAGCGGAATTACAATACCAAGAACTTGTTGAAGGTCACAAAAGAACATTATATTCAGGAATTGTCGTGAGTAGCAATATTAGTTGCTGTAATCATGATTATGTTGCAGATGTACACGTGGCGACACAACAAGGTATTAGAGGTGATAAAGGATCTGATAAGAACACAATGTGAGACAGAAAATCAACAGCTTGTGGCAACCAAGGAAACTAAGATCGAATTCCATAAGGAAGGGGAATGCCCTGCAAAGAAAAAACAAACAGCCCCCAATATAAATCTGATGAGTGGTGCCAGTGATTGGAAGGTTTCAGTGGATCTAATGACGTCCTTAAAAATTCCAATACACATCGCACAGACAGACAAGCGTCCCGACATTGTGTTGTGGTCCGACTCAAAAAAAGACTGTCTTCCTAATAGAATTAACAGTCCCTTGGGAAGAGAACAGGGTGGAGGCGCACGAACTAAAGAAAAACCGGTACGAGTCACTGCGTGCCGAATGTATGGAAAATGGTTGGACGTGTAATGTGATGCCTATTGAGATTGGGCGTCGTGGGTTTCTGGGACATTCGGTCATTTCCTTCCTTTCAAAAATAGGCATCACTAGCCGTTGATTGAAAAGCGTTTCGCATCGCATTCAAAAAACTGTTCAACACGCGTCAAGTTGGATTTTGGTCGAGATCAAAACAAGCAAATAAAATGCGCGCAACATCACGACCTAACTAATATAACAGTGTTTTATTCACGATTTTTAAAAAAAACTAATTATCAAGATAGACACGCAATTCTCATTTGGAAAATACACGAAACAAACTTTATATACTCAAGTACAATAAAGAACGAACGAAATCTTAGAACAACTTTACAATGTTTAGGCTAACGAGCAGTTCGTACATGTCAAGCAAAATGAGCTATTATTTTTAATGAGTACACATTAAATGCGACCTTGTACCAGATTAAGCAATAACTATGTTTGACTCAATTCCTATATTTGTTCTTTGTTCATATCCATCTCTTACCACCCACAAAGATGTAACCCTGGTTCGGGTTTGTTTCCACTTACCCTCACTTCCGCAGAGTCGTGAGACCCGCTGACTCACTGCTTGAAAATGAGGTTACGTGATTATCTCTTCTTCCTTCCTCGTGTTATAAATATTCTAACGGGCCGACGATTGTTAAACGCAAGCGTAGAAATACATACACACACACACAAACATACACACGCGCGCGCATTGCGCCATCACTGCGGGGGGCGTCTGTATCTCGGTCTCTGCATATCTATCCATCATAATCTAAGACATTTAATGAGCTATCTAGCTAAGCTACTACTGTATCTATTTAAGTATCTTGCTAGTCACTATAATACACACACATTATATTATATTTATGAGTGTGCGGGTGGTGTAATGGATTGCAGCTCGGAACGAGGAACTGGCAAGCACGATCCGATTTCCAGTTCAGTACGTTATATTCACTTTCGTACATATACCCTTCATGATAACACTTCTCCCTCCAGTTATAGGTTAAGTAGTCAGGCAAACTGGGCCCTTCATCCTTGGTTGGCTACCAGTCAAAGAGAACAACTCTGAATTAAAAATCTGTGACTGAACCTACCGTCAGTCATCTTGAGCATTGTTTTCATTGAATTATAGCAATTTAGGTTCAGAGAGTGCACAAGTGCCTATCACTACAGTAATATATATAACAGAATATTATATAGAATATAATTATTCATAAATTTTGTTTGATTAGGGACTCACAACAGCAACAACCCATCTGAAAATCCAAATTACAGTGACCCAATATTATACATGAATTTACATATCCCTTAACCAAATTCATGAATAATTATACTGAACATACCACTACTTGACTAGCAAGAAGACTCACGCACATCTCTCTGAT